GGCTCTCTGGGGACCTCCCACAGCTCTGCCCTCTCATCCTTGTCTCCCTGCCTTCTCCCCTCTCATCAGTACCTGGGATAGGCACCCGGTCAAGGTGCAGAAAATGCTCAGTTGGTGAGAGAAAATTTAGATTCATTAGAAGGAGACACACAAAATTTCAGGGACTAAGATTTGGTGCATGAAGTCTCCATTACTTGTTTGTATGGGTTGGATGTTGGAAGCCTTTCAGGATATCCAGCCAACATGTCAGGTGCAGTCTGGGTTGTTGATGGGAAGAGGAGAGAGAAGAGCCAATTTGCTGTCTTTGAGAATTTTTAGAGAGATTAACTCACATAACTAAAAAGCTAGAGAAAACTAAAGAATGAGTGACCCCATGTTGCAGGCAGAGAAATCAGAAGAGGTGGGGCTTAAGTTGGCTTTCTGAGGAGAGGTAAAAAGAAGGCGAAGGGAGAAAGATGGTTGGATAACAATGTGAATAGAGCCTGGAGGCAAGGAGTTAAATTTTTTGTTTTATTTTTATTTCATTCCATCTAGACTTTTAAGTCACATAACTCATATGCATTCAATTAAATAATAACCCACACATGAAAAATGAGGGCTGAGGGGAAAAGCGTAGGGGCTGTGGAATAAGGTAGTCCCAATAGTTATTTCTATTTCTCACACTCACACACTTCACACATCCTTGTCCTGCCTGTCCTGGGGAGAAGACACACCCAGCATCACACGCACCTGGGCCCCACTTCCCTGAATTACTGACTGAGAGGAACAAGAAACAGAAGAATCCTGCCACGTAGTGCCAAGGACAGGAAGGTTGACCACCCACCCACTAATCCACTGGAGGAAAAACTCATGTACACTTTGGGGCTTCAAATCTGCAGAACAAGAGAATATGATTTAAGCAGGGACTGGGATCCCCAGAGCAGATTTATTGATAAACAGGATGTGAACATCAGCTGCCCAGACTTTGGGTGCAAGCCCAGGACTCCTCCCCACATGGTGCCATGAAACCTTTGCTCTTGGTAGATCTAGACCTCTTCCAAGAATGCTGACCCCTTCAGCTGTACACAGCTTTGGCATAGTCAGGTTCGTAGATGCTCAAGGAGCAAAGGAACTCTCCAAACCAGAATAGGTGTGTGTAGGGAACTCATGGGCCCAGGACCTCACCTTGTCCATACTCCCTGTCTCCTGGATCTGTAATAGTGACAGAAAGCTAGGCCACTCAGGAACCCAGCATTACCAGCCACACCCTGAGTCCCTTGGCCTGCACAGGAAGGCCCTGGGAGCATCAGCTTCTCCTCCTACACCCCATTCCCAGCCTGTTCCTAGTCCTGTTCATTTCCAATTCAGTCCTCTCTCCAGCTCTGGTTTCAGTGTCCTAAGTCTAAGTAACTTTCTTATTGCACCTGTTTTGGCTCAACAACCCCAAACTGGCCAATCTGCTGCAATCCAACAATCCAAGGAGCATAAAGGCCTTATGGTGTCTGCCACCAATCCTCTATCTACACTGCTGCCAAAAAGAAATTTCTTTTCAGCATTAATCCTGTTCATTAGAAAGATAATACCAATTTGTTGTGCAATTTAAAAAAAACCCTCAATTCCACCTCTGTTAAGTCAATCTACACATTTTTGTTGAGGGCCTACTAAAATGCAAGTTACTATCTACATATTTCAAGAGAATGAGACAGACATTAGCCTGCCCTTTCATTCTATGGGGAAGACTGATAAGAAACAGTTAAGTGAAATGATTCCAACAACAGTAAGTGCTAAGGAGGAAGTAAGCACTGTTTTACAAGAGACGCTAGCAGGGAGGGCCTGGTGGTATAATAGTAATGCACACAGCTTCTTGTTGGAGATAGACTTTCAAGGTAAAACCCAAAAGATGATGATGGAGCTGGTCATGCAATGAGTAAGAGAAGAGCATCCCAGGTCGAGGCAACAGGAAGTACAGAGGCTCTGGAATGAGAAACAGTTTGGTGTCTTCAGGAGGTGCCTCATGGTAGGACAGTGACCTCAGAGGACATTGGGGAGATCACTCAGAGGGTGGTGTGTGCTGTGACACTTTGACAGGGTTTTTGTAGGGATAAAAGTAGATAACATATGAAAGCACTTGGCACCATATCAGCCCACAGTAAATATTACAGAAAATAAATGATAGTCAAATTGAAGGAAATCTGGAGTTAGAAATTTGAGGTGATGTTCCTAACTATAACACTTACTTGCTTTGTGACCTTAAAAAAGTCAACCAGCTTCACTGGGGCTCAACTTTCTGTCTGTAAAATAAGGTTAATACCACTTGGTAGAGTGAGTAGTAGTTGTGATCATTCTTTGGAAAAGTATAAGCATTAGGCAAATATTAAGGAGACATTCCTTAGAAGTTTAACTGCAGAACAGCACTATGCAGGGTCTTGAATACTTTCTCAAAATTGTCTGTATATTTCATTTCAGGTAGGAGGTAGTGACATAGAAAGTCCCCAGCCGAAAATAAATGTGACAGTGTTGTGTGATCCCTTAGATGGGAAAAAACAAGCAACTATTTAGTTTTAAAGGGTTTTTCCTTGGTAGATACAGTCTTTCTGGACAAGCAAAATAAACATCATAAATTTTCTTCAGGGGCTGCTGGGGGGATTGACACCACACCACCTCCTCTGCCTTTCTGTTGCCTATAAGCTGAACCAGAAAAAATCTAGCAATAAAAATAGTAATGTCCTTCTAAAATATGGCAGCCAAAACTGGTTCTAGTCAGTTTAATGTGGTGACTTAACCAGTCTAAGGTTTTCCCTGGTCCCTCCTTCCTTCATTCATTAGTCATTGTTTGTCAGGCCTCGTGAGTGGGCACAGTCCTCTGGTCCAGGCTATGGGGAGCATGAGGACATGGAATACCTAGTTACTACTTTCATGGAGACCTTAGTCAGAGTGGCAGGATAGCAAATGAGTGAAAAAGATATTTACTAATTAATAAATAAGAACCAAGGCAAGCACAACGTTTTAAGAGGTAAGCTGACAATCAACAGACAGTTGTATATTGTGCTTTGATCACTTTGTTATAAGCATTTCTCGCATTATTAAAAATTCTCCATGAATACCATTTTGATGACTGCTACATCTAGCCACATGGTTTACCCAACCCTTTCCCACAAAAGCTTCCCTGGACAGTAAAGCTTGCATTTACACCAATATGCTGGAGTTCATGAAATATTCATCTGCTACTTGGAAACACTGGATAAAGCACATCAAACATGACATGCATCCTGGGAAGTTTGGAGACCACCAAGTGAGGTCTGAATTCTCAACCCCCAAATCATCTCTTTATGCTAATGGTTGACAGCAAAATCTCTGAAGCCAGGCTGCTGGGCTGTGAACCCCGACTCCACCCCTTACCAACTGGGTGACCTTGGGCAGGCAGCTGACCTCTCTGTGCCCTTGTTTGCTCACCTGCAATTGTGGGATTTAAAAAATATTTTATGGAATGGTTATAGGAGGAATCATAAATCCTTTGCTCAGAGCCAAGAATGTAGTAAGTGCTCAGTAAATGTTAGCTATCACCAAGCATTATGAGTCCGCTTCTGTGGAAGAAACAGAGGACTCAGACTGAGAAAGAAAGAGTTACATCCAAAATTTACACCCAGACTTTCTGACTACAAAGTCCACTACTGCCCCCTCATCCTGATGGTGAAAAGCCAGTGCTGAGCCAAGTGAGGGAGAGTCAGGGTCCAAGGTACCCTGGGATTAGAGCCAGAGGGGTGGAAAATAACCGCAGAACTGGGGGGAGGTTGGGAGGAATCAGTGTAAAATGTTACATGGTCTGGTTTCAGTCTGGATAGGAGCCCAGGGTTTAGGGGAGAAAGTAAACAATTTTCGTTGTGTGAAGAGTCACCTGTCACGAGGTAGGGCAGGGGAGGAGGGTGTTGGGAGTAAGAGTGTAGACAAGTAAAGAAGCAAGTCAGGAGGAAATGGGGCCTCTTGGGAGGCTGGCTGCCAAGGAATTTCTCCAAATATATATACTTTTAGTACTCAAATTATGGGCCTTGGGTTTGATGTTGGGGAAGAGAATTGTAAAATCAGTGAGAGAAACACAGTAACTTCCCCATGCCTTTCTCTTGTATAGATGATCTCCAAGACAGTTTCAGTGCCCATTCCCCTCTCTGACACTCTCCACCTTGTGAACTCCTACTCATTCCTGAAGCCCCCATTCTCTTCCTTTAGTTTTCTCTTCCTCTGGGTAGACCCACACTACCGTTCATTCCTCCAGTAAAGGCCTTATCATATTTTATTGTAGCGTTTTTCTGACCTTACGTGCTAGATGTGTATTCTAAGAAATATGTGTCAAATGACTGATTGAATGAATGAATGAATGAATGAGCATTCCTATGACAATCCTTGAGAAAAAGATTATTTTCCACCTACAAAAGGAGAAACTGAGGCTGAGTGAGTATCAGTTGCTGACTTCATATGCAGTGGGCCAGACCTGGAACTGAATCTCCTGAGTCCAAGACCGACCAGCACATTCATCATGCATCATAACTGAAAGGTGGACTAGGACAAGTATGGGAAAACTTCTGATGCAGGTAGGCGGGCAGTTTTGGAGACAACAGAGGAGGATCCTAACCCCAACCCAATGACTCTCAATGACCACTTTCCATATCTGTAACTACTTTGTATCTCTGGAATAAAAATAATAAGGAAATAACCACACCCATAGAACATGAGGTGAACTAACTGATTTCTGGAACTCAGGATTCATGTGTGTTTTGCTTGCAGATGGGTCACAACACCCAGCATACTGGCTGGCACATAATAGATGCTCATTATACACTTTTTCTAGGAAACAGATGGGTGGAAAGACGAAATGTACACAACCATTGTCACTGTCAGCTAAAAAACCTTTTCTTCCTATTCCCCAAGGTGGAGCCAGCACAGTTACTCAACTCTGGTGGCTCTAAGCCCTGCCTTCACCCTCCACCTTCCCTAGTCCCCACAGGTGGGAGGGACAATATTTCCAGACTGGCCTTATGTGGTCAGGGACAGTCAGCCATCCAGAAGCCACTGCACCATGAGTGTGTCTGTGCTGAGCCCCACCAGAGCCCTGGGCAGCATCTCTGGGATCCTGCATGTAGCGTTCCTGCTCGGTCTGGTTCTGCTGCTGCTCAAGGCAGCCCAGCTCTACCTGCACAGACAGTGGCTGCTCAAAGTCCTCCAGCAGTTCCTGTGTCCTCCTTCCCACTGGCTGTTTGGGCACCAACAGGAGGTAAAACCAAGCAGGATAGGGGAGTGGGAAGGCAACAAAGACAGGGGATTGCCAAGCACGGTCATGCTCAGCAAGTCTGTGGGACAAAGTCTTGTTGTGTGAGAAGCACATGGTCATGGGGACAAAACCCAGTTTACCCCTCAGGTGATGGCTCCTCATCCAAGGTGCTGGTGTCCTCAGTCTGTCAGATCCCCCTTCCTTAGGTAGACCTTCAGGCTATTTGGACAGCCCAACACTTTGAGTACAATGGCTGTTCCTGAGTCTCCCTGCTACATGATCACACAACAGAACTTCTAGATGCTTCCCTGCCTGTGTCCACTCATTTCCATTCCCTCTGCTGGGCCTGAAGCCTCCTGGGGCATAAACGTGGGTCTCATGGATCCCTGCCTGTTGGGGTTCACAATCTGTGGAGATGATATACAGGGATTTAGAAAGAAGGTGTCAGGTCACAGGGAGAGAGGCTCACCCACAGGGTTGCTGTGGATAGAATTAAGAGTAGGGGAGCCACCAGCTTGGCTGGATTGCAACTATGGGATTTTTCAGACTGGTGATGGCAGTGCTAAACCCCTGACAAGGTACTGGCACATATGAGCACTAAGGCCTCCAGGATGGTCCAAGGTAAGGAGTACTGGCATTGAGTTGCACCAGTAAAAACAATCTCTTTCCCTTCCAGCTCTCATTCCCAAACCCCTGCCCTGTGAGCTCCTTTTGACTGAGGATATCATCCCTCTTTCTGTACCCTCAGACCCAGCAGAGTGCCTGACACAAAGGGAGGCTTGACTCAGTTATGAGGACTAACACGAAAGGCATAGCTTGCAGGTTGGGTGACAGACAGTGCTACCCATTCAGCTCTATTAGCACTAGTCCCTGGGTGAAGGGTTGAGAGCAAGGTGAGGAGCCTGCATGGAGGGAGACTAACTTAAGGTTTGTGGATTGAACAAGCCTGAGGAGAAATGCAGACAAGTTATTATCAGCAGAGTGGAACCAAAAATTGGAACTCTTCATGTCAACCACAGAGAGACAGCCAAAGCCCAGTTTGTTCATGCAAATGTGATACTAATGATTTCCAGATTGTTTGCTGATTTGGAGAAATTGTGACTTGTGTTGATGCAATTCTCACCTTTCTAAGATAGGATTAGATGGAGGTCACCAATACACTTTCCTCCTGTGACTTTCCCATTACTGTGGGTCTTAGATGACATATAGACTCAGAAACCAAATATTTACATATCTACATAACAAATACGTTTCTTGCAGCCAAATTTCCCTTGCCTTATAATGCTGCCTGAGATTTTCAGATACTCAATATGTCTGTTATTGACTAAGTCATGAATTGAATGCCAGATGTTCCATCCACATGAAGCTAATCTTTCAGACTAGATGACAGCTGACAAGGTGGGCAGTTAACCTATGGGCTCTGTTGCCAAGATACCTAGAATCACATCCCAGCTCTACCATATACTTCAAATGTCTTCTCTATCACTCCTCTGTAACTTGTGGATGATAATGATACTTAGAGCACACAAATGAGATATTACAATGGCGGTATTGTGCATGGCACAGGTCAAGGGCCACCATTACATTCACTCTAATTGTATGAATTTAAAATAATTTTAATGCCTAAGAAGGACAACCATGTGGAAGGTACAACCTCTCTGCATTAAGTAGAATCCAATAGGGACCATAGAAAGGGAAACTAATGTCTTTGGAATTCAAACAACCCAAACTGCCCCATTTCCTTCCATGTCCTCCCACCAACACAGGCATACCTGCCATTTCAGCAGAGCCCACAACTGACTATTGCTTGTGTGGCCAAACCATTACCTGTCCATCTACACTCTTTGTATCTCCCTTTGGAGAAATTGCTTTGTGGCTGCAGTTCCCAGGATCAGCCAGGTGAGGACAACTCCAGGGCAGCACCACCTGGGTGGAGTGGCTAAAGCATAGGGGCCAGATGGACACTGGGTATTTGCCTACAGTTTTGTGACCCCTACCACCATGGGCACCATCTGGCCACAGACACTCAGGGACACCTGGGACTCCCAACTGGTGGACAGGAGGGCAGACAGACTAGTGGATGCTCAAATGGGCTAGAGAGAAGAATGGAAAAGCACAACAAAGTGTAGCTCCTCTCAGTCCCCAAAGGGATCTAAAGAAAGCACCCAGGAGCAGAATTTTCAGGAAGCTTGAGTACCAAGCAATCAAAAAGACATGTTACTGTGCTGAAGGATTTTCTCCACACCTGCACCAACACTCAAACATAAGGTCCATGAGAGCAGAGACCTCCAGGAACTAGGATGATGACTGACACAAAGTGCTCAATACATAGTTCTGAAATAAGTGAATGACTGAAACCATTTACTCATCTACTCACTTCTGTATTTGCTCATCACTATAGAGAAAACCTTTGGGATGTCTTTGCAGCCCATCTGCTCTGAGATTTCTTTCCCCACAAAGGTGGGCCCCTGAATACCCTATACAACCCCAGCCACAGTTCATTGTAGTAGGTAAACACCTTGGCCATATTACAATCCCATCTCCAATAGGATTCCCAGTGCCTCTCAGACATGACATGTGGTAGAATGAAGCTAATTGGGAAGGGTACAAGTCTCTTTCCTCCTCATGCCCTCAGCTCCATGAAGACAGAGACTGTTGTCTGTTTATCTGTGACCATACTGCCAGCTACTAGAAAATTGTTGTGTAGATTCCAGTAAACACTTGGTAAGAGAATGAAAGCATGTATGTGCACAGAGGAAGAATGAGAGACTCAATCCTGGTCATTCTCCAGTTCCCTGTTCTGCCCCCTCCACACCCTGGCTGCCTCCTGCCCTAAGCTCTATGAAATACCCTGGAGTCCTCAACCTTCTCTTTGTTCCTTTTCTCTTTCATACATTGCTCAAGATTATATCTGTCACTTGCAACAAGAATTTTAAACAAGACTCACCCATTCACTCTCCTTCACATGCCCGTTCATTCCTTCTCACTTTTTTATTCTTATAAAAATAAGCCTTAATTCCTTAAAACCATGCTCTAAGAAGATAGACATTACAGATATTAAAGGTAAGTTTGCCAACACAGGCAGAGCAATTAGAACACTGAGTTCAGATATGATAGTAGAGACACCCACGTTGCTGTGGGATCACTGGGGTTGGCAAGCTTGGGTGTAAATTGGCTCTCCTGGGCACAGCCTTCAAGGTTTCTTCATGCTTCAGTGAAACAGGAGAATGTAATAATCCATCCCCACTCACAGGTGTGCATTGATCATCACACAATTGTACTGCTTTGTTAGGGTGCTTAACAAATGGGGTACTAAAACAGCAAAATGGAGTGACTCACAGTTCTCGAGACTTGAAGTTCAAAATCTAGATATTTGTAGGGTTGGCACCTTCTGAAGACTATGAAGAAACCATGTGCTCAAGGCCTCTCTCCTTGGATAGTAAACCACAATTTTCTTCACATGTCTCTTCATATCATCTTCCTCCTGTGACTGATAGTTTCTCTGTCCACACTTCCCCTTTTCATAAAGACAGTTATAGTGGATCAGGGCTCACTCTAATGACCACATTTTAACTTAATTACTAATATAAAGACCCTATCTTGAAATTAAGTCACATTCTGACATACTAGGAATTACACCTTTCAACATATGAATTTGAAAGGGACAAAATTCAACAAATAACTCAAACATAACTCTGTGAAAATGCTATGTGCACCATTCAGTCCATAACTGAACAATTATGAGGCACATACTTTGTGCAACTGTCTAAGGGCAGTTTTGAGTGAGGGCTCAACTAGAAGCCACAACCTGACCTTAGATCATGTCTTGATGAAGAGCAAGAATCCGGATCACAGCCTGGTTCATTAGGACCAGTTCCAAGCTCCTAATCACAGCTGATAGATCCGGAATTTTATCCCTGCAGCTGTTTTACCCTTCACCACTCCAAGCACTAGACCTAAAGAGAAAGGTTTTGTTGATTTGTCTTTCCTTTCCTTATAGTTCCAGAATGACCAGGAGCTACAACAGCTTAAAAAAAGGGTAGAGAAATTTCCATGTGCCTGTCCTCGCTGGCTGTGGGGGAGCAATGTCATATTCCTGGTTTATGACCCTGACTACATGAAGGTGATCCTAGGAAGATCAGGTGAGAGTGAAACCTGAATTGTGTATGGAGCAGCTCTTCTCTCTGTGTTGTGAAATTCCATTGGAGACTTTAGTTCTGCCAGAATTCTCTGGACCCTCTACCAACCACTGTCGCACACCACAAGCCAGCTTAAGGTCAACAATATCTGCTCTAACTGAATGCTTAAACAGCCTGCTGGGACAATATCTCTTCTAACTTCTTTATTTTTTGTTGTTTCCTTCTTTCCTTTCTTCCTTTCTTCTTTCTTCCTTCCTTCCTTCCTTTCTTCCTTCCATCCTTCCTTTCTTCCTTTCCTCCTTTCTCTTTTAATCAGATTGAGATGATCTGTTATATAAAATCCCCAGATCTGAAAAACAATTTCTATCAACCCTGACTTTGGTTTCCCACTCCTAATTGTTGCCTGTCCTGGAGATGTGAAGCCCCCACAAACTGCAGGAAGACCATAGACTTCTGTGTTTTCTGTGGCACTGGGGATAGTGCCTATATTTCTGGCTGATTGACCATCCTAATCCTGTGGACATTCTGCTGCTGGGACACTGAGTCTGCCTTCCTGAGCTCACAGCAACTATAAGGACACAGAGACTTGGAGTTGGGAGGCAGGTGGGAGACAAACTGCCAGCTGACAATCTCAGGAAGACATGGCAGCCCATGGTCTGGACCACAGCTGCCTCCTGTGGGATACCAGCCTTGTTTGAATCCATCCAGTTTCTTATAATTCCTTTTTATTACGTTTCAGACCCAAAGACACAAGATATGTACAGATTCCTGGCTCCATGGATTGGTAAGTATGTCCAACCAATACTGTGGGGTCCACCTGCCTTACCAAGAGCTGTATCTTTGGCTCACAGAGAACAACAGGTAACCAGCACCATATCACTACCATCATCAATGAATCAAGCCTTATTTCTCTTCTAATAAAACCTCACTGCTTCTAGGTCGTGGTAAGAGCCTCTCTGAAACTCAGCTTCTTCCCTTCACCTCTCAGTGCTCTTCAATGTTTTCAGAGTGACATTTACATACAATCTTCTATTACCAGCCCCCCTACTCTATCTCACCCTTTAACTCACAGCTGTCATAGTAATATCCCATTTACCTTCCACTTTGGGAAATTCACATTCCTGAAATACACTGGCCTTTCCTTCCTTTGCCCATGATGTACCTTCTTCTGACATCCCTGGTTCCTTCCAAATTGCCCCCAGTCATCCTTCTGATTCCATACCCCCACCCCCACACACCTATCTGTGGCCAGGGTGTGGTTTGCTCCTGTTGAATGGACAGACGTGGTTCCAGCACCGGCGGATGCTGACCCCAGCCTTCCATTATGACATCCTCAAGCCCTATGTGACAATCATGGCGGACTCTGTCCAAGTGATGCTGGTAAGTCCATCCCTTTCTCATCTGCACACACTGACTCACAGCACAACTCACATGGTCCACTCTAGGATGTATGGAGCCTTGGGACATCCATCAGATAGAGCCAACCAGAATAAATCAGCCAATCAGAACTTACCATGTGACAGAGCTTCCCAAAGTGGATGGGACAGGAGGTACCTAGGCACCAGCTTAAATCCACATGACTTTGGTTACTGCCAACGGAAAGGAGGGTCATGGAAGGAACAGGATTTATTCACCTCTCACCTCCACGTCTTTAGCACAGTGGACTAGAGGAACAGTCCTTCCTCTTCACAATAAGACAAACTGCCACCAGCACACCTGAGCAGTGAAAGCTTCAGTGACAGAGTGGACATCCCAGGATGACATTCAGGTGGACCCTGGTTTGGAGCACAGGCTTCAATATGAAATTGAGTCACTGCATGTAAGGGAATGGAGATTACATCTCACTCACAGAAGCCAGGTCCTGCCATTGCATCACATGTTACCTGGTCTCTGATCTCAACAGCTGTGCTCATTTCATGAATGAAAAGAATTAAAGTCCCTGGTGTCCCTTCCTTCAGAGCCCTAGTATTGGCCACTTAGGTTTCCTCTTGCCTTGACATATTTGCTACCTAGAGTTAAAGGGCACCACGTGTCCCTCAGGTCTAGCTTAACCCCACACAAAATTCCTTCTTTGTCTCCTGAGAAACAATGTTTTCTGGTCTGCCTAAAGGTGATTACCATAACGTATTTCTAAATTTCAAAAATATTTCAAGCCATTATGAGAATATGTCTTTAATTTTATAATCAAAGGTTGTGAGAATATAGCTCTAACTTTATCATCATTTGCATTACAGTCTAAATGTGCTGTAATGCCTCTGTTCTGGAAAGTGAAGGATACCAAACAGGTGTCTGGAGAGAGACAGACAAACTTGCTTTGTCAGCTGAGGCCCTCTGGGGCAGTAGACTTGGATCAATGTCCCCCTCCCACTACAGGACAAATGGGAGGAGCTCATCAGCCAGGACTCCCATCTGGAGATCTTTGAACACGTCTCCTTGATGACCCTGGACACCATCATGAAGTGTGCCTTCAGCCAGCAAGGCAGCATCCAGACAGACAGGTCTGTCATGATTCTTCAGGTGCTGGGGTTTTGTTTCTATTAATTGATATGGACTCAGTGGAGAGGCAGTTCAGGCAGGTGCGATGCTCACAAGTTCAAAAAGCAAGAATCTGTCCAGAGCTGCTGACCATGGACAAATTGCAGTCCAGACCAAATCTTGACCCAGCCACAGATCCCTGATCTCTGGCACAGGTTCATTCCTGGTTGTTCATATCATTTCTTTGTTTGTTTGTTTGTTTGTTTTAATTATATTGTTGTTGTTCAATTACAGTTGTCTGCATTTTACCCCCACCATTTCCCCCCCAACCAAGTCAAACCCACCTCCCTCCCTTGCTTCCACCCTCCCCTTTGGTTTGGTCCATGTGTCCTTTCTAGTAAGTACTTTCTGAAACCCCTTCCCCCCATTATACCCTTCCCCCTCCCCTCTGTTTACTGTTAGATTCTTCTTAATTTCTAGTTTCTGGTTATATTTTGCTTGCTTTTTTCTTTTGTTGATAATATTCCCATTAAAGGTGAGATCATATGATATTTGTCCCCCACTGCCTGGCTTATTTCACTTAGCATAATGATCTCCAGTTCCACCCATTCTGTTGCAAGGGGTAGGAGCTCCTTCTTTCTCTCTGCTGCATAGTATTCCATTGTGTAAATGTACCATGGTTTCTTCAACCATTCATTTACTGATGGGCACTTCAGTTGCTTCCAGCACTTGGCTATTGCAAATTGGGCTGCTATGAACATTGGGGTGCATAGGTTCTTTTGGATTGGTGTTTCAGGGTTCTTAGGATATAATCCCAGCAGTGGAATTGCTGCATCAAAAGGCAGTTCCATTTTTAGTTTTGTGAGGAAATTCCATACTGTTTTCCACAGTGGCTGCAGCAGTCTGCATTCCCACTAACAGTGCACTAGGGTTCCCTTTTCTCCTCATGCTCTCCAGCACTTGTTTGTCGATTTGTTGATGATGGCCATTCTGACCTGTGTGAAGTGGTACCACATTGTGGTTTTAATTTGCATTTCTCTGATGGCTAGGGATGCTGAGCACCTTTTTATATGTCTCTGGGCCCTGTGTATGTCCTCTTTGCAGAAGTGTCTGTTGAAGTCTTTTGCCGATTTTTTAATTGTCCTTTTTGTCTTCCTGGAGTGGAGTTTTGTGAGTTCTTTATATATTTTGGAGATCAAACCCTTGTCCTAGATAGCATTGGCAGATATGTTTTCCCATATAGTTGGTTCTCTTTTCAGTTTTTTTTCTTTAGCCATGCAGAAGCTTTTTAATTTGATGAGGTCCCATTTGTTTATTCTTTCCTTTATGTCCCTTGCTTTAAGGGAAATATCAGTGAAGATGTTGCTGCGTTGAATGTCTGAAATATTCCTGTTGTTGTTTTTGTCTAGGATTTTCATGGTGTCACAACTTATATTTAAGTCATTTATTGCCCTTGAATTTATTTTTGTGTATGGTGTAAGTTGGTGATCAAGTTTCATTTTTCTGCAGGTGTCTCTCCAGATCTCCCAACACCATTTGTTGAAGAGGCTATTTTTACTCCATTTTATGCTTCTTCCCCCTTTGTCAAATATTAATTGACCATCCAGACTTGGGTTTATTTCTGGGCTCTCTGTTCTGTTCCATTGGTGAATGTGTCTGTTCTTATGCAAGCACCAGGCTGTTCTGATTACAGTGGCCTTGGACTATACTTTGATGTCAGGTATTGTGATCCCTCCAACTTTGCTCTACTTTCTCAAAATTGCTGCAGCTATTTAGGACTGTTTATGGTTCCATATAAATTTCTGAAATGTTTGTTCTGTATCTGTGAAATATGTCATTGGAACTTTAATAGGGATTGCATTGAATCTATAAATTGTTTTGGGTAGTATGGACACTTTGATGTTCATTCTTCCAGTCCATGAACACGGTACATGCTTCCATTTGTTTGTGTCTTCCTTAATTTCTTTCTTCAGTATTGTAGAGTATTCTGAGTACAGGTCTTTTACCTCCTTGATTAGGCTTATTCTTAGGTACTTTATTTTTCTTTTTGCTATGTCAAATGGTATTTTTTCCTGGCTTCTGTTTCTGATATTTCATTGTTGGTGTGTTGGTGCCCACCATGCCTGGTTTCAGGAAGCTCTAACCCCCCATGACTTAGGCTGAGTGAAAGACCTCTGAACCAGGAGCCACAGAACTTATTTCCCTGGCATGAACACTGCCTAGTCTGTGCCTGGCCTCCTATGCTTGAGAAGTTAGCCAATGCTGGGTAAGATTTCCCATGGAGGGAATTATCTAAGACAGGCATGATCATGAGGAGGCCTCAGGGAAGAGACTCGGGGCTGTGGAAATGAAGGGGTGATGGACATCAACCCCTGACCCCTTGGCTTTGTCAAAGCCTGAGTCCTTGTTCTTAGTTGTGAGAATTCCAAGTCTCCTGGCTGCTTTTGTCTCCTCTGTTGACTCAGGCCTGCAGAAATAACAGGGGCGGTGCAGCCCAGACCAGAGTCGGTGGACCCCCAGGGTAATCAGGCCTGGGACATAGAATATGCAAGATCCTGTGAGATCTTCTTGCTGGAGGATGTTATTGAATTAGAATATGAAGGCACAGGCAGGAAACAAGACTAGCCTTTCAGGTCCTATAGTGATAAAACCCCAAACTTTGCCCAGTTCCCAGCAGGGGTTCTGTCAGACCCTTTGAAAATTACCTATTCCTTTTCATCTTCCCTGCCAGACTATTAATCCACAAACTGTGTCTGTATTCTTAATAAAAACCTGCTTGGGTGGGAAAACGGGGCACTCTCCACTAGAGAGAGTGGCCGTTTTGTCCCTATTTCCTCACAGGACTTGGTTGTCCCTGTGTATGTTTTTCTCGTGTTTTGACGAGCATCTGCAGCAGGGATGGATACTGCTGGCCGGTATCCTCCACATTGGTGTTCAAAAATGCCTTTGATTTCTGAATATAGACTTTGTATCCTGCTGTTTTGCCAAATTCACTTATTGGGTCGAGCAGCTTTTTGGTAGTGTCTATCAGATTTTCTATGACCACTATCATGCCACCTGCAAACAATGACAGTTTTGCTTCCACCTTTCTGAATGGATGCCTTTCGTTTCCTTTTCTTGTCAGAATGCTATGGCTAAGACCTCCAATACTATGTTGAATAGGAATGGTGAAAGCAGACATCCTTGTCTTGTTCCTGATCTTAGTGGGATCTAAGTTTTTGCCCATTGAGTTTAATGGTGGCTGTAGGTCTCTCATATAAGGCCTTTATTATATTAGGAATGCCCACTCTATTTCCACTTTGCTAAGTGTTTTTAACATAAATAGGTGCTGTATCTTAGCAAATGCTTTTTCTACATTGACTGATATGATCATGTGATTTTTGTCCTTCATTTTGTATGTGTGATGTATTACATTAATTGGTTTGTGAATATTGTACCATCCTTGCATTCCTGAGATGAATCCCAGTTGACCATGGTGTATGATCTTTATAACATATTGTTGAATGTGGTTTGCCAATATGTTGTTGAGGATTTTAGTGTCTATGTCTGTGGAGGATACCAGCCAGCAGTATTGATCTCGGCTGAGGATGCTCATTGAAACATGCTAAAAACATACACAGAGACAACCAGGTCCTGTGTGGTAATAGGAACAGAAGGGCCACTCCTCACGTGGGGAATGCCTTGGCCACCCTCTCTCCTGGAGGGCACCATGGCCACTCCCTCTCATGGGGAGCACACCGTGTCCATACCCAAGCAGATTTTTATTGAGAAAACAGACTTAGTTTGTGGATTCACAGTCTGGCAGAAAAGATCAAAAGAAGTAGGTGACTTACAAAGGTGCAGACAGAATCCCTGCTGTGATTCTGGGCAGAGATTGGGGTTTTATCTAACAGGGCTCTAAGGGCAGTTTTGGTTTCCTATCTGTGCCTTTCAAATTCCAAGTTAATAACATCCTCCAGCACACAGATCTCACAGGATCTTGCATATTCTATGTCCCAAGCCTGATCACCCTGGGGGTCCCCTGTTTCTGGTCTGGGCCACCCCTGCTATCCTGAGTTAACAAAAAGGCAGCCAGGAGACTTGGAATTCTCACATCTAAGAACAAAGACTCAGGTTTTGATAAAGCCAAGGGGGCAGGGGTTAATGTCGATCACCCCTTCATTTCCACAGCCCCTTCTCTCAGGGCATTCCCATGTGACCACATCTGTCTTAGGTTCATTCTCTTTCTTAGAGAATTGTTACCCATTATTGACTGCCGATCATGCCAGGGAAATAAGTTTTGTCTACTTAGTGGCCCCTGGTCCAGAGGTCTTTCACTCAGCCTAAGTCATGGGTGGTTACAGCTTCCTGAGACCAGGCAGGGCGGTCCCCAACATGTGTCCATCAGCGATATTTGCCTGAATTTTTCTTTCTTTATTATATCTTTATCTGGTTTGGGATTAGGATGATGCTGGCTTCATAACAAGAATTTGGGAGTCTTCCATCTTCTTGCATTTTTTGGAATAGTCTGTGAAGGATAGGGGTTAGTTCTTCCTTAAATGCTTTGTAAAATTCTCTTGTGAAACTGTCCCATTCAAAACTTTCCTGTGTTGGAAGCTTTTTGATTACTGCTTCAATTTCTTCACCTGGTATTGGTCTGTTCAGGCTTCCTCCTTCTTCTTCATTCACTTTTGGAAGACCATATTTTTCTAGAAATTTGTCCATGTCACCTAGGTTTTCAGACTCCTGGCATATAGTTCTTCATAGTAATTTCTTTCAGTCCTTTGTATTTCTGTGGTATCAGTTGTAATCTCTCCTCTTTCACTTCTGATTGTTTTTATTTGGGTCCTCACTCTTTTTTTCCTGATGAGTCTGCTTAAAGACTTGTCAATTTTGTTTATTTTCTCAAAAAACCAACTCCTAGATTTATTGATCCTCAGAATTGTGCTTTTCATCTCTACATCATTTAATTTTGTTCTGATCATGGCATTTCTTTCCTTCTGCTTGCTCTGGGCTGTCTTTGTTGTTGTGCCCTGGGTTCTTGTATGCATAGGGTTAGGGTGTTTTTTGAAATGTTTCTATCTTTTTTGGATAGGCCTGTAACACTATGAACTTACTTCTCAGGATTGCCTTCTTTGTGTCCCATAAGTTTGGGATTGTTGTGCATTCATTTTTACTTGTTTCCAGAAACTTTTCGATTCTTCCTTAATCTCATTATTGACCCATTTATTGTTTAATAGCATGCTATTCAATCTCCATGAGCTTCAGTGTTTTGGGTTTTTTCCCCCAGGTTGGTTTCTAGTTTCAGTCCCTTGTGGTTGGAGAAAATCCTTGATATGATTTAAATTTTCTTGAACTTGTTGAGGCTTGTTTTGTGTCCTATCATGTGGTCTATCTTTGAAAATATTTCATGTGCATTTGAAAAGAATGTGTATTTTGCTTCTTTGGGATGGAGGGCTCTATATGTATATCAGTTAAGTCCATTTGATCTAGGGCATTATTCAATGCCACAATATCTTTGTTGATACTTTGCTTGGAAGATCTGTTTGTTTTTGACAGTGAGGTGTTAACATCCTCTACTATAATTGTGTTGCTTTCGATATCTTTCTTGAAGTGCTCCAAGATTTTCTTTATATATTTGGGCACTCCTATGTTGGGTGCATATATATTTACAATGTTTATGTCTTCTTAATGGATTCTTCCCTTGAGTATTATCAAGTGACCTTCTGGGTCTTTTTTATGGCTCTTATTTTGAAGTCTATTTTCTCTGATATGAGTAGTGCCACCCCAGCTTTTTTTCCCTGTTCATTTGCTTGGAATATTTCTTTCCACCCCTTCACTTCAGTCTATGTATGTCCTTTGTTCTGAGGTGAGTCTCTTATAGGTAGCATATGGGTGGGTCATGATTTCTTATCCATTCAGCTATTCTATGTCTTTTGATTGTGGTATGTAATCCATTTCATTTAAGGTTATTATTGATAAGTATTTACTCATTGCCATTTTTTTCATACCTGTGTTCCTCTCTCTCTCTCTCACTGTTTTTCTACCTGTTCTTCAAGCAGACCCTGTAGCATCTCTTGCAGAGCTGGTTAGAAGGAGTTATATTCTTTGAGGCTTCTTTTGTTGGGGACCTCCTTATTTGACCTTCCATTTTAATTGGGAGCCTTGCTGGAAAGAGTAGTCTCAATTGCAGGCCCTTGATTCTCATTACTTGGAATATTTCTTGCCATTCCCTTCTGGCTTGGAGGTTTCCATTGAGAAGTCAGCTGCTAGTCTTATCAGTGCTCCCTTGTATGTTACTTCTTTTTTTCCTTGCTGCCTTCAAGATTCTTTCTTTGTCTTGGAATTTTGCCATTTTAATTATGATGTGCCTTGAAGAGGGCTTCTTTGGGTTCATTTTGATTGGGACTCCCTGTGTTTCCTGGATTTTTGTGACTTTTTCTCTCATCAAATTGGGGAAATTTTCCATCATTACTTTTTCGAACAGGTTTTCTATCCCTTGCTCTTCTTCTTCTCCTTCTGGTATCCCTATTTTGTGGATATTATTATCTTTCATGTTGTCTTGCATTTCTCTTAACCCCTCCTCATTCCTTCTGAGCCTCTTTTACTTTTCTTGATCTTTCTGGGTGCTTTTTTCTACCTTGTCCTTCAGCACACTTATCCAATCCTCTACTTCATCGAGGCTGCTTTTGATTCTTTCTACTGTGTTCTTCAGTTCAGAAATTGTATTCTTCATTTTCTCTTCACCAGTATTGATAGTTTCTATTTCCTTTTTCATGCTGATATAGTTTGCAGTGAGTTCATTGTAGTTTCCCTGTAGTTTTTGGTAATTCTCTCTGAGCTCATTGAGCTTCCTGATAACCATTGCTTTGAACTCAATATCTGATAGTTGAGTTGCCTCTATTTCATTTAGCTTTCTTTCTGAGGCTTCCTCCTTTCCTTTCATTTGGGGATTGTTTCTTTGTCTTCCCATTGTTTGTGAGACTCTCCTTGTTAGCCTCTGCTTCTTAAATTGATCTCTTCTGACTCCCTGGGTGTATGGTGTGAACTTCTTTGGTAGAAGACCTGTGAGATTCAGTGGTGTAGTCTCCTTGATCTCCTGAGCTTGCTGCTCTTGGGTTGTTGTTTATGTTGGCTCTTTGTATATCTTTGGGTTTTGGTTGTTATTGGGTCTTTCTTTGGTGGGTTCTTCCCTCCAGCTGGTGAACTGAGGGTCACTCCATCTACCACTCCTTGTATTCTGTTGTAGAGATGTGGACAGGTTGTTTTGAAGCTGGTTCTTCTGTGTGTGCAAGGTTTTGAGGCTTCTCTCTTGCTCTTGTTCAATTGTTTGTTCTGGGTAAATTCGCCACCATTTACTTGTATTTCCAGGTCAGTCCTGGGTTGAGGGTAATGTGTCTTTCAATCCCTCCTTCACCTTCTTCTGTTGTTATCTGTTGGTGGGTCCTTTGTTGGTATGTTTCCTCTTCCAGCTGGTGTACTGGTGCTCACAGCTCCAACCTACGTTTTTTGTGATTAGTTGGAAGGGGAATGCAAAATGATTTAAGATGGTGGGAGTGTATTCTATGGTATTTAAAGTACCAACCCATAAAGAAAAGATAGGAGATCCTTTCGATATCTATAGTGTTAACCATAAAATTGCCCCCAAATAGCCACTTTTTAGAAAGGGTGGAAAAAAAGATAAGACTCTTTTTAGGGGGTGGGGGGAGGATTTGGAGTTGGATTTATAATGCAGTGAGCTTGTAGGAGATCAGATTATGAGATAAAGTGAGAGTACAGGATTGAAAAGAGGTGTAGTGGGTGAGAGAATAGAGTTAACCACAACAGTAATAAAGTTCCAGAAACAGTGAAGTGAGCTAAGATCCAGAAGGGGTGGTTTGTAATATTCACAATTGTTTAGAACAGCAATTACTTGCAATAGTAGTAGAGCAACAATCATATGACAGAATCTATGTGATCTGAATAACAAGAATAAGAAGTACAATACCTAGAGTAGTGTGCTATTGGAACACAAATGAGTGAAAGACAGGAAATTAAAAATACACTGTGAAAGAGCTAACAAGGGAAACCAGTCAAACCATGCAATTTAACAAACCAAATGAAGAAAACTAAACAAAAAGAAGAGAAATTTAAAAATTCTAATAAAATAAAAGATGTACAAATAAGGAAAAATAATAATACAAATATACAATAACTTCCAACTTCTCTGGAGTAGCAAAGTGAAATTTGTCTCAGTGTCTCAACTGTTGGAATGTCCCGCCTTTGGGTCTAACTCTGCTTTTCTCACAGCTCCAGGTTTTATTGTCTCACTTGTGAGAATAAAAATAAAAGGAAATAAGGAAGAAGGAATTTTTTTAAAAAGCATCCTGCTGGCTTTCAACTAGCAAGCCAGTTCTGCTGGTCTTCCTGGTTGCAACAGGCTGAGGGGGGACTGATTTTCCTTTTCTCCCTACCTGTGGTTTTGCAGGGATGGAGGCCAGGCCTGAGCCACACTCTTTGCAGTTGTCCAGCCTCCAGCCCAGTTCCTCAGTTCACTTCCAGGCCCTCAGTGTCCCTCTGAGCCGGGCCTATGCCTTCAGTCCACCAGTTGGACTGTCCTTGAGGTGCCCCAATTAGGGGAAACTCATACACTACCTTCTCGCTTTTTGCTGTCCTAGATACTAAGGACTCTCAGAGACCCTTCAGGGTAGTTCAGCCCCCACACTGGGTTAAGTCTCTCTGGGGATAACTGACTCCCTGATCCTTGCTGCTTCCCTTTTCAGAGGTGTCTCTACCTTCCTCTTTACAGAGAGCCAGATGGCCCTGCAGGGCAGGTACTCTGGTCATGCCTGCCATTGAGGATGCTGGCACAGGGCAGTGGGGTCGGGCACAAGGTGCCTCTGGGCAGCAGGGTCAGGGGCACTCTTTCCTAAGCTGTGGGCATGAGGTCTCGGCCTCCACTGCTCCAGTGGGAGTCCAGTTGCCTGAAGGTGGTGTCGGGCACAAGCCAGCCTCCACTGTTAATGTGGCAGCTACAGGGTCATGGATGGTGGCTGGGTCGGTGGCACACCACTGGGTTCACGGGCATGGTTGGGCACCCTTCACCTCTGCAACAGGGGATAGAGATGCAGTCAGTATCCTGACAGCAGAGGTGGGCCCACATATGAGGCTGCTGAGGCCACAGGGGGACAGCCAGGGGAGGCAGGGGTAGCTGCTACAGGATAATTCCCTAAGCAGCCACTGAGTGCCCCCTTTTTTTCTTTTTGTTCTTGAAAAATTCCTCTTATTCAAGTCTGCCACTCTAAACAAGTGCCTGGCCTCTCACACACCCCAACTCTCCAATCACACTAGGGATTATCCAGGTCAGAGGCCACCACAGACCACCTCTTCCCCACTGGCATCCAGAGTTTCAATGGGTGCACACTGCCACTGTGTGTTTGCCACTTCATCCCTATTCTCCCTAGCAACTTCAATCATCCAGGTCCATCCTGGTGCTGCTCAAACCTTCTTTGGCAGGGGAAGGACCCATTGACCTGGCTCTCTCCCAAGAATCCTGTGACAGACCCAGTGGGCATTGGGCCTAAGGCTGCAGCTGCCTTGGAACCGCAGTGGTCCTAGAAACAGTATTACCCAAAGCACTCTCCTTAGTGTCTGGTTTTTTCAATGTACTCCAGTTTTGGCCTCCAATCTTCATCTATGCTGGGACCGTTGGCTGTTCAGTCTATTCCTCAGAAGATCAGCTCGGTGTTCCACCCATGCACAGGGGGAAGTGGACTCTGCTCCCACCTATCTCACCACCATCTTCCCTCCTTGTTCATACCACTTCTAAAGGACTGAGGGTCTCAAGGGCCATAAGACAGAAGCAATGAATACCTCAGTGCCACCTATCCCAAATGTTTGTGAAAATTCCCACCTAGAACCCCAAAAACAGAGGACTCTCAATACCCAGTCTTTTTTGTATCTCTCCCTCAGGAACTCCCAGTCCTACCTCCAGGCCATTGAGGATATAAAAAACCTCATTCATTCTCGACTGAGGAGTTTCTTCTACCAGAATGACATCATCTATGGGTTGACTCCTGAGGGCCGCAGGAACCACTGGGCCTGCCAGCTCGCCCATCAGCACACAGGTTGGGTCCACCTCCAGGGCTGTTCCCCTCCCTCATGAGGCACATCTCAAAGGAACTGGCCCTGACCTTCAGAAAGAGCCCCCTGCTGCTCTTCGGGAGATGCAACACACCCACACTGGGTACTCTCCTGGTGTATGGCTTGGGAACTGGGGTGGTGGAGTACCAGGGCTTGTGCTGGGATTGATGAGTGTCACCAACTGGTGATGTCCCCCTGCAAGTGGCATTCAGGCAGACCCTACTCCATGGGTGTGCTGTTGAGCAGAGGCCTCACTTCCAATCAGATGGTGATCAAGCTCTCCATCCTGATGTGCACCCCAACTCCCACACTCATTCTGATTCATGGCACCCAGACTGGAAAAGGGTTGGGGGAAGGTGGGTCCTCTATGAGTTGCTGTTCCTGGATGCCCAAAGCCCAGAACTCTGTCTGGGGTCCACTGTTTGCTGGGACAGACCGAGTGATCAAGTTGAGGAAGGCACATCTGCAAGAGGAGGGAGAGATGAAGGAGGTCAAGAGAAAGAAGCACTTGGACTTCCTGGACATCCTCCTCTTTGCCAGAGTGAGTGTGTGGGAGGGGCCTGAGGCTTCACCCAAAGGGACAGAAGAAGGAACAAACCCTGCACTCTTGCTGTGCCTTCCCCAGATGGAGAATGGGAGCTGCTTGCCTGACAAGGACGTCCGTGCCGAGGTGGACACATTCATGTTTGAGGGCCATGACACCACAGCCAGTGGCATCTCCTGGATCCTCTACTCTCTGGCTGCACACCCCGAGCATCAGCACAGGTGCCGCAAAGAGATCCAGAGCCTCCTGGGGCATGATGCCTCCATCACCTGGTGAGCATTCAGGACATGGGAGTGCCCTGCCCACTCAGCTAGACAAGATGCCTGGGTCCCCCTGGGCCCTGCCTACCCTCAGGTTGGGCTGCTTTCATTTCAGGGATCAGCTGGATCAGATGCCCTATACCACCATGTGCATCAAGGAGGCACTGCGACTCTATCCGCCTGTACCATTTGTTGGAAGAGAGCTCAACAAGCCCATCACCTTCCCTGATGGACGCTCCTTACCCAGAGGTCTGAACTTCACCACACTCACTAAACTGGGCACTCTGCAAGAGCACTTGGCAGATCAGATCCACGTGTCCTAGAGTAGTCCTGACCTCTCTGGTCTTGTTTCTTCATCATTAAGTATAAATTTACTTTGTAGTTTATATTAGGAATATGAAATGCCTGTCATACAGTTTGACCACAACACCAGTCCCCCCCCTTCTAATCATAGAGAATAAATCACATCAGTGCATTTACCTCAATAGGTTCATCTCAAATCTGACATCTCACATGAATGGAATCCCAAGCTGCTATCATTCTCTAGTCTAGCATCCCATCACATTTAGAATCCATGGTTTGATGATACCACAGTAATTCCATTTGATAGCACTGATGTTCTATGATTCTAACACTCCATTCTCCAGTCCCAGCTCCAAGTTGTAAGACTCTAGGCGCAATTCTGTCTACATTATCACATCTATTTGAACATCCTCTGTATTTGATGTAATGCATGCATAATTCCTCTGTGACAAATGCAAATCACTCTACACATACCAGATAACATAATAATGATTCAGTCCATGGCATGTTTTTCACAAGGAGATGTTGGACTCTGGATGCAGCTTCCAGAATTTCACTCTAAAACTATTTTTCTGCAACATGAGATTTGCCCAGACATTAGACAGGGGAAGGGGTACATGTGGTTTCTTTCCTCCGGGCTCTAGGCAGAGAGGGAAGATCAGCAAATCCACTGCCATGAGTCAGATGGTCCAGTCTCCCAGGAGCCCTCACTTTAATGGCAGAGAGCAGATGTTGATCAGATCTGAGATCCTGCCATTGTGGAGGCCACCTCATGGTTCACCTTCGGCCTGAATCCCAACCCTGCCACATCCTAGCTGTGTGATCATAGGCAATGTGCTCAGCCTCACTGAAACTCAGGTGCTTTATCTGAACAATGGGAACATGAATGCCCTCCTTGGAGGGCTGCTGTGAGGACTGAATGAGTTATTAGATAATCCCCAAAAGCCCATGGAGGGCACTTGATAAATGTGAGTTTTATCTTGAGTTGCTCCAGAAAGTAAGCCTTCAATTCTGTCTTGCTTCTCAGTCCTGGGACATGGTTATCTACTCTTAATGTGTGCACATGTGCTTTGCCATGTCTGCCCTCCAGTATTGCTATAGGATCATTCCACTCTGACACTCACTGCAGCTCCCGAGTTTTGAGGCATTCACATGCCCCCTAGTCTCATGTGTATGATCAGTCTTCTCTCTTCTCCCTGCCCTACAGGAATCAAACTCTCACTTTCTTTTTATGGTCTTCACCACAATCCGAAGGTGTGGCCCAACCCAGAGGTAGGATGGCTGTGGGAGGGAGGATGGGCTGACTTCTCTAGGCCAACACCTCCTCCAGTTTCCAGCCCCAGGAGTCCTGTGTCCTCTTGCATTGAAAGGAGGGGTTTACCCTACCTGTCCTGACCCTGGTGCTCTTTCTGCAGGTGTTTGACCCTTCCCGTTTTGCACCAGGTTCTGATCTACACAGCCATGCTTTCCTGCCCTTCTCAGGAGGATCGAGGTGAGGCATCCTGTACTTGGGGAGGGCCCACCACCACATGCAAAGCCCAATGTCTGTGACCTCCTACTTTCATATCTGGTGCCCATACATATGCACTTGTATACTGCTGTGTTGTGAAGGCAGCACTTATCTATATGTATGAAACAAACATGACATTTCAGGCCACCATGCAGACACTTTACCCACTGATTTTCTCCTAAGCAGTTCATTGTCTTTACTTTTATTATTTTTGCCAATGTTGGGCTATGTAGACAGTGGAACTATTGTACATAAATCACACTTCATACAAAGAATTTTGCCAACTGAACAAGTTGTCATGGTTATGTGAATATTACTATGCACTCAAACCTTTGCTGGGTTACACTGCAAAAACAGAGAGGCTTATATTGGTCTGAAACTCTTCAAACAGATCCTTCCCCTATTTGCCACCCACAATTCAGTGTCAGTTGTTCTTCTAAACTTCAGTTATTCCGGTGTCTTTCTCCCTTCAGGAATACAACTTCTCAAAGGTAAAATTTTTCATAAAAATTAAACTTCCACCGGCTTTCCTCAGTTACCAGTACCATCAAAAAGAGAATTTTTCCTCTCTTCTCACAGGGCAGGGCAGCCACTGTCTTGCCTACATCAGTGATCTGCCACTCACTGTATCTGTGATATTTGCTTGTGTTCAGATTTCCAGCCACATCCCTGTCTCCATGGTTCAAGCCCTGCTCATGAATGGTGCACAGCAAGGTTTTATACCAACGTATCCCCCCTTGCTTTTGCAATCTACCCCCACAAAAGATCAACTGCACATTAATATTCACATATGCATCACTGCTTCTCCAGTTGACAAAATTGTTTATGCAAAGTGGGGTTATTTACAGAACTCCCACATCTGCACAGTCCAATGTTAGCAAAAAGCATAAAACTAAGGACAGTCACTCCTTTTGAGAGAGAACCCATGACTTTGTATATGACACACAGCATTTGAAAGGTTCCTGGTGTGTAAAATATAAAGCATCCTTGAAATAGCTGTTGAGCTGGACAATTACACCCCAGAAGGGCTGCTGTTGGAAAATCTGCAGACTAAAGAAATCTTCCTGTAAAATAGTAACGCCTTTAACCTTTGTACTTGGCTCAGCAACAAGCTTTTTGGTCATTCTTCAAGTGAATCAACTTGCACAGAATAGGCTCTAAACAAATCGTTCTTCCAGGGGGTTGATTGGCTCTGGCCTTTGGTTTCTCCCAGGATTGTCTTTTCCCCCTACACCATAGCTGCAAGTCATAGGCCTGCCACAAGAGGGCAGGAGAGAATAAGGCAGCTCAATTCCTAGTTCAGAACTCGTAGTTTCTTTTTTCCCTATTTTCATTTCCTTTTACAATTCAATTAACTTAATTTGAGTATGAATGTTTTTCTTCATTACGGCTCTGTTTGCAAAGTCTTGTGCCAGGAAATTGGGAAAGACACTGTCCCTGTCTCCAGGTGTTCCCAATCAAGAAACAACCTTCTACTGAAGACACTTTATTCATTCCTTCTTTCCTTCACTCACTCATTCACTGTGAGCAGAGTGTTGAATGTTCTATGTTTCCTGCACTGTCCTGGGCATTGGACTGTAATGTATCCTTGAATAAAACACTGATGGTGCCTTGGGGGTCTGGAGAAGAAGAGATACAGGCGGCAAGGGTATGAGGTCAGAATGGCCTTGGATTTAACCTTAAGCATGTGGTAGGCAGGGGTGGAGGGAGGGCCTCTGTGATTCAACAGCATGAGCTCTCCTAGGAAGTGAAGCTGGACAGGTGAGAGGTGAGTGAAACAACCCATGGGGGTTAAATGCCAGCTGAAGCATTTGGACATGTTCTACTTATGATGGGGGCATGGAAGGGGCTTCAGTGCACAGAGGAGGGGAGTCAGGAGACAGAGAAGTCCAGGTCGGAGACTGATGAATGTCAAGGATGGACATTTCTACAATAGGACAGAAAGGCTACAGAATCTGGTGGACTGAAGTGATTAGGGAGAGGAAGGAGTCTGGACCATTCATTGGAAGGCAGATGGTGCAACTGGCTGAATGTCACTAATCCCTGGTTGCCCCTGCAGCTTCCTTGCTGCCATTTGGGTTTCCTTACACAAACTCGTCTTTCCTTCTCTGTGAGGATGTAGGTCACTGTTGTCTCCCTATATAGTGAGGACCTAAGAGTGTGACCCATCCCACTCCAGATCACACCCTGACCTGGCCTCCACATGGTAAAATCAGAAATTTGTTGTGGTAGGAGAAAACAAATTAATTAACTTTTCAATCATTCACTTGACTTCACTTGGTGAGTTAGTGCAATGACCTTCCTCTACTAGGATTTCATGCCTGCTGAGTATGGAAGTAGTAGTTAGAAACTACTCCTAATAGAGAAATGGTCTTTGTGAAAGTTGAAGTACACAATGTGAAACAAGACCAGAGGGATAGAAGTGTGAGTGTCCTAAAAGCAAAGGGGATTGGATTGAGTCACATCAAATGCCCTGCTCCTAGCAAGGGCTCCATGGCCAATGGCTGCCCAACTCAGAACAGTTTTTGAGGCTACTTCTCATCTCATTTCTCCTCCCTGATCCAGGAACTGCATTGGGAAGAATTTTGCCATGAAGGAGATGAAGGTGGCCGTGGCATTGACCTTGCTTCGCTTTGAGCTGGCAGTGGATCCATTTAGAGTCCCCATCCCAGTACCAAGAGTTGTTTTGTGTTCCAAGAATGGAATCCACCTGCAGCTCAGGAAGCTCCTCTAATCCATTTTGGGACAAGAGCAAGCTCTGAAGATCTCCTTCCTGCCGTCCTGTCTCCCTGTTCCATGAGGCCATCTTCTGTCTATCAAACCAAGTCCTGCTTCCCACATGCCATTCTACCTGACCTCTTCCTCTGGTCCTCTGACTGCCCGTCTAACCTGTCATTTTCACTTTCTGCCTGCTTGTCTTCCCTGTATAGTTTCCTTTACATGCTAGAATAAACTACTATAGCCTCAGTGACATAGCACACCACAAATTTTCTCTTAGCATCTAGATTCTTAAGTCTGAAATGTGTTTCATAAGATCACCACCAAGGTGTTGGTAGGGCCATGCCACCTCCAGGGCTCTAGAAGAAAATTTCTGTCTTGGTTTTTCCAGCATCTAGATCTGCCTTATCACATTCCCTGTCTCCTGGAGCCATTCTCTGTGCACAAATAAAACAGAACCTTCAATGTCTCTCTGCTTCTGTCCTCACATTGCCTTCTCTCTTATGAGGATACTTGTGATTACATGGATTCACTCAAATAAAAGAGGACATAGTCACATCTTGCAGGGATTAGACCATAGACACCTTGTGAGCTGTCATTCTGCCTAATGAGTCCCTAGTGACTGCCATCAGTCTGTGTTCCCAGTTCCCTTCTGTGTGTTTCCTGTATACCCATTTGTCAATCTCACACCCTCTCCTTCTCTCTTCCTTCCCGGAATACAGTTCACAATGTCATACACCTTGGGAGGAGCTGGTTGTAGAAAAGCGAGGGAAGAGACACAAGAAGAAGCAGGGAGATAATATCTGCTCTGAGGTACCAGGACCCAACACCTCAGAGCCCAGAGAGGAGACAGCTGTCCAGGAGAGATTGGGAGAGCCCAGGTGGGCAGACACCTATGGCCCATCAGAGAGGATGCCAGCAAACAGCTGGCAATGTTTTCCCCACAGAAAAGTCCCTGGTAGTGCCCTGCATTTCTGGTCAGCTACCTTAAGTGCAGAGGAGCTTCTTCAACCCTGCCACATTTAGTGACCAAGTGGGTTCTGGTCCTCCAACTCTGGGATATGTTCCTTTGTGTTCCTCCATCAGCCTCTCTCAGCCCAGCCCTGTTCTCTTGCTGGTTCCAAACACTGGTTCTCCTCCTGTCCAAACCTAGCCATTCCTAACCTAGGGGTCTGAATGCATACACAGACATTTCCAGACACCACTCTGCCTGTGGTGGAGGTGTCTCCTTCTGCCTCCCCAAGGGGCTTCTCCCCGACCCTGTACCTGCAGCCAGGATCTCCCATTCCAGTCCCCTGGCCTCCTGGGCTAGTTCAGCCTTGCTTTAAGGAAGGACATGGTGGGCATTAAGTACTTGACAGATATAGAGCAGGAAAGGGAGCTGGGAGCATCCTGAGTAGGATGTTTGGCAGGTCCCCTGATATTAGGTGGTGCAAAAGGTTTGGTGGCCATGATCAGAGAGCATAGGACAATGGGAACTTGGAATTCTGGGTGATCAGCAATGCACATGTGCCCTCACCACAGCATTCCAGGGGGGTGAGAAGGGCCAGGGAGTGACCCTACTGGCTTCAGACAATGGGAAAAACCCAGGCTGAGTACAGGCTCACATGCACAGATGCTTGATGCTTACATAGAGACAATCCTGGGCAGTTACTCCTGTGTGTGCCCTTTCACACTGTAACAAGGTAAATGGGGAAACCAGGACCCCATCCCCAGAAATAGGGGAGGGGCCGAGTTGCAGACCTTTGTGTTGCCCTAGAAACTTGGGAGTTGCATGCTGGCACTTGTAGGAAATTCATTTCTAGAAAGGGGCAGGGCACAGAAACCCAGCCTCCTCCTTTGATCTCCCTCCTTCCTGGACAGGGAGTAAGTCGTGTGCCCTGGACCTTAGGGACTGTAGGAGGGGAGGGGACGAGGCTCTGCCTGTTAGGAGGATGACCCCAGACCCCACAGATTGGGTCACAACACCACACTGTACCACACAAATGCACCAGAGCTTAGGATCAGAGGAGATAGCAGGGTGTGCTAGAGAGCTGGAAGCATGAAGTGGACTCATCTCTGGTGCTCTCAGGTCCCCAACCTCTGTCCTCCCCTCCCACATGGAGCCTCCCCTTTCCCTCAGGATCCAGAGCTGTCAGCTCTGTTTCTCAGCAACACAAGCCCTCAGACAGAGTAATTACTACCTATGAAGCCTTGGTCAAAAGGGCCCAGAATCAGGAGCTCACTCACGCTCCTCCCTGATGAACATCTTGGCAGGTTCCTTCCCTTAATGTTGAAGAGGGATAATGGCCTCCTCCAATCCTGCCTCACAGGCCTCCTGACAGTCCGAAAAGGAGACTTGGGTGAAACCCATGGGCCAAAGTTAGTTATGACGACTGGACTCAGGTCCCAGGTAAGAGCTTTGAACCAATATCTTCACTTGTGCAGAGAGGTCTGTCCAGGGCCATGACGTAGGGGAATGTTCATGACATGGTGAACACTCTGACTAAGGTTTCCAAATTCAAGACTTACGTGGGCAATGAGTTCTAGGTCTTAACAGGGCTTTGCAGGAGTGAGCAGGGGCCCAGGGCCAAGTTTCCAAGGCTGTGGAATCAATAGGAAGAAGGATGTGTCTGCAGGTGGTCCCTCCTCAGAGCAACATAGAAATGTCCCCACATCCCAGGGCTGGAATTCTCCTCTCTTGACCCTCCCCTCATGTCAGGTGCCCTCCCCCCATGCCTGTGTCATTCCTGGACTGCAGCTCACTAATGGCCTTAGACATTTGTCAGGGACCACGCTGTGTGGTTCCCAAGACTGTAGCCATGAGATAGTATGGCCTGAAAGGAGCTAGTAAGTCTCCCTGGAAAACCAGGTAAAAATGCGGGTGGCAGACATGTCATGACTCTAACACCAAGGGTCACTGTGGGTTCAGGCCTGATGAATACATGGTATTCTTTGAAGCTTGTTCTGCTTTATATAGCCAGTAGATACAAACCAGATGTTTAAGTTCAAGGAATAAGGAATAAACTCCTTATGAAATACCCCTTAAAGACCCTCTGGCATCAGCATGACTAGCAGACCCTGACCTATGACAGATCTCAGTTCCTTCAGTTGTTATCTATAGATAATACCCATTTTTTATGACTATAGCCTTAAGACATTGATTCATGGGCTATCCATGTATGCTGTTTACCATTCCCAATAAGAGCCATTTGGGAGAAGGGCTCAGGGCATTCTCCACTAGAGGGAATTGCCACCCCTTTTCCCACCAGAGAAGCAAGAATGTGTCCAGGATGACTTATTCACCATACTCGGCAGACGGGAGGATTCTGAAGACTGCAGTTCCTCCCACAGACCTTGAACCCTATTGGTATATGTACCCATCAAAGAGATGCTGCAGAAATGACGAGGGAAAGATCCCTGATTCATCATGTGGGCCTAAGCTGAACTTTGCCCCAAAGCTCCTTCTTTCCGCCTCATACCGCACCCTGCCTCAAGGCCTGATTCAGGCACCACCCTTCCCTAAAGCTCCCCTCTAGTGTCATTCTGCCACCTTCCCAGACAAAGTCCACACACCCAGGGCACTGGGTGACTCTGACACAGACATGGACGATGGCAGTAATGCCACAGAGTCCCATCTCAGGAGGGTAGAGATGATACCTGTGAGTTCATATTCTATATTCCTTCACCTTGACAGTGGTTACCTGGGTGTGTGCCTTAGAAATTCATTGTTGTGTACACTTTTGCTTCAAGCAAATATTCCTTATGCCATTTTCCAAACACATGTGCAAAATTAAAGAAAGACACCCATCTCAGTGAAGGGCCAAGCCACAAAGCCACCCCTCTGTCATGTGGACTGGGAAAGTGCCTGGTCATAACCAGGAATCCCAAAGCACAGCTTCCATTGCCTTCACTGTATCACCCAGACTGGAATGTAAGCTTCTGCTACATTTTAGAAAGACTGCCTATTACCAAAAAAAAAGGAAGAGACTAGAAGCAAGTGGGTTCTCACCACATGTTTGCTGAGTGAATGAGTCAGCTCTAGGATACATACACAGGAAGCATTCAGAGACACACCTGTTTTCTGGCACCATCTTAGAGGTGACTGTCTAGGGGATAACAACTCCCCTTCTATCATACAAGCCTCTCAAGGACAGGGAGCCACAGCTGCGCCACAACCCAGCCTGGAGGGGGCTGTGCCCAGGGAGAAGCCTCAGCCTGGGCTGTCTGGGGCCCTACTCTTAACAGAGCTACTTCCCAGAGCCTGGGCTGAGTGGCCCTGAAGGTGGATGCCATTCTTGGAGCGCAGGACCAGCTGAGGCAGTTTGATGGGTGGCCACAAGGGGTCCAGGGCAAACTCAAAGCGGAGCAAGCAGAGAGCCATGACCACCTTCATCTCGATCATGGCAAACTGCTGCCCAATGCAGTTCCTGCAGTGAGAAACACAAAGGGGCATCAGGAATTGGGTGTCTGAAGTGGTGAAATCCAGTGCTGTCAGTGGCCCACAAAAATCAGTAACGATTTTTGCATGACTAATTGGCTGATTGAGTGATCGCCCTGGGCTCAGAAAAAGGGTTGTGGGTGCAGGGTAGGGTCCCAGACTACTGGTAAGTAGATTCCCATTGAGGATTCTGGCTTGGGGTCCCTCTTGCAATGACTCAGACAGCCCTCCCCCTGCTGGGGACATGAATATGCTAATAGAAAGAAGAAGGTCCTTGCAGCTTACCCTGTGTTAGAATCACCAAAACCCAGCATGGCCCCCCTCATCACAGAGTTCCCCAAAGTGATGATTCCCCCACAACAGACTCCACCCCACCTCCCCAGACCTCAGGCACTGGAAATGTGGGGCTTCTCCTTACCTGGGCCCAGCAGAGAAGGGTATGAAGGCAAAGGGGTGGCGTCCCACCACATTCTCAGGGGAAAAGCGCAGGGGGTCAAAGACCTGAGGGCACAGGCCAGGCTTAAATACAGGCCAGGTCCAGAGGGAGGCTGACTCCCCACAGCCTCCCGCCCCCTCTGACCTCCAAGCCCAGGAATGGGATACCTCAGGGTCAGGCCACACAGCACTGTTCCTATGGAGGGCAGAGATGTGCAGAGAGATCAGGCTGCCTATGGGCAGAGCAGAGGGAAGGTGACCAGGTGGCCCTGGGCAGCCAGGCCCACCTCCTCACAGGGCCAGGATCCCATCGTGTCTGCCTAACTAGACACCGGCCTCTGCCTCAGCACTGCCAGTGACAGAAGGTTTGTGACAACCCTCAACACATCAAGTGCTTTTGATCATCATCATGCCTACTTCCTGTAGGCCAGCACTGGGCACAGCACCTGACACAGACATTTGTGGAATGCAACAGAAAGAGACTGAACCCACCCCCACCACAAGGCAGGGTATGCAGGGATCATTACTCGCTTTCGGCTCTCAATGAACTGACTCTCAAGGCAAGTTATTCATAGCATATGCTATCAATAGTGACAGTTACCAGTCACTGTTTG